TATTAACAAGGACCACTGAAAGAAATTTTCTTTCATGTTTCTAGGCCAGCATTATTGCTTTCCTGTTCTACATCAACTGTATATTAATTCTGTATTCCAGTGTCTTAACATGGTTTACAGGAAACCATTAATACCTACATCTGTATGATTTTTACATGCTATGCAGCTATGAGCCACAAATGGAGAGTTGCATCTTTTTCATATGTTTCTGTCACATTTCTGAAGGAGAATCATGAAGGTAAGTCTTCACAGTGATCTTTTTTTTTTTTTCTTGATCTTTTTTGAGACAGGGTCTCCCTATAGCCTCAGCTGTCCTGGAACTCACAATGTAGACCAGGCTGGCCTTGAACTCACAGAGATCTGCCTGCCTCTGCCTCCCAAGAGCTGGGATTAAAGGCATGCACCACCATGCCTCGTTAGTGATCATAATTTTAAGCAGTGTTCATGGTCATGCATTTTTCCTGGAAATAGAAATGCACAGAATTGTGATTATTTACTGATTCATGAGCTCAACCATTGGTTTCAGAGACTGAAGGAGCATACTTGGAAAATTGAGTAGAAAGATATTTGGTGTAAATACAAGTGGATAGAACACTTCAACAAGACAAAAGATGTTAAGATAACTATGTCCCATGTAAATGCTCTTCAAAGAATGAACTTGGCACAAGATTTCATTAAACATGTAAATAGAGTTACCATTTTCTTACTAATCCACCTCATCCCCTCTCCATCCATTTCACTTTCAAAGAGCCCATGAACAAACTGGCAATAGTGGCAGACATAGAATTCACGAATAAGCTCATCAACATGGTTTTCCATAGATCAAGACTGATGTGACAACAGCTGTAGCTTTGTGCTAAACTATACACAGCGAATTCCGTCATTCAGAGCCCCAAATTGGACCATTGTCTGCTGAGACCAGACAGTAACACTGTTATTGGTTGTCTGCACCATCATAGAAATGGTGCACTCCATTATCCTTGCTGAAATCGATACCTGTTCTAGTTATGAATTTGCTTTTCCTACACATACTTCGGCCAAACTGCCATCCACGAATTCACAGATTGCCTTATGCACCATTGTGGTATTTCATACAGCATTGTATATGAAGTGTCATGGAATCTGCAGGTCTTCAGCTGTGTTTGGGTTCTGAGTTGCTATCCAGGTGCAGATCCAAGCATGACTTTTGGAGTCTGATGTACAGCTGGAGTGGAGTGTGGTTTTTGAGCTGCTATTCCAACAATTTGATCCATGTGGAAACCAGCCATGACATGTATGCCCCTATGGATGTCCCAAATACATTGCTTATATTTTCAGTCACATGATTATGGATGTTTTGTGTTCATTCTCTTGAGAAATGTGCCAGAGCAAAATGAGAGTTTTAGCTTAGACCCTTATGAACTTGGCAGGAATATTGGGTGATGTCTTATCAGGTTTTCTGGGGGCTTCATTTCTTTCAGCAGCTCCTTCTGCTTGAGCATTTTTAAGACCCTTTTCAGGGCAATTGACTATAAATCTTCTTCAGCTCCAGTAGATCCAAACTTCTGCTGTGTAGTAAGAGAAACTTTGTTCTCCATCACTGATAACCTGTATTGGAACCTCATGCTCTGAGCCAGCAGCTCCATTGTTTACATCCTGCCCAGGCCAAAGAATAACATCCAACTCATTCGTAACAGTAGTATCTCCCAGTTCTTCCGAGAAACTCGAGCCACATTGCTTCCTACCACAAGTGAGCAACTTTTCATATTTCTGTGCTTTCTTTCATCATCGTACAAATGCCTTTCAAATGATGAACACATCTAATTACTAATTCTGACTTAGTGAGGGCACAATTCCTAGCACTTCTCTTTGTCCTCATGAGATATCACCACAATATATTCAAAATATGTAGTCTTTTTGAAGAGATGTGGTTGTCTTATCTTTGAAATTCATTCTCTGAACAATGCTATGATAAATCCATGATGGCCTCAAGCCCTTTACATTGTGAGAAAATGAAGGACACTACGCTTTAACTCTGCAAACTTCTCCCACTCTGTCATTCCTGGATTGACTACATGTCACTCCCTTAGATTCCATTTTCATGCCAGGGCACTCAGGTATTGTCAGCCAGATACCCCTAATCAATCATCTGTCCACTCAAGAGACATTTATAAACAGTTGGAAAGATCTATTCATATTCCAGAACCATGGTGGGACCATGCCCTTGTAGGAGAGAAAAACCACAGAGGACAAGCCAGCCTTCGGGTTGCAACAGCAAGAGGTTTATTTAGTACACAGTACCTGTGGGCACAGAGTCTCCTCGGAGGACTTGCGCGCCTCAGGTCAGGTTTGTGGAACTTTTATAGAGCAGAAGCGAGATACAGAAGCAGAAACGTGGTTATTGGTTAGTTTAAACTATTACAAAATGCTACAGGGAGAGCGGGGAGCTTACTTATCACTAAGCCAGATGTCTCAACCATAAAACTTATTTATCAGTGAGTTGGAGATGTCTCGGCCATGAAACTTACTTATCAGTAAACCAGATGTCTCGGCCATAAAACTTACTTATCGGCAAGCCAGATGTCTCGGCCATAAAACTTACTTATCGGCAAGCCAGATGTCTCGGCCATAAAACTTACTTATCGGCAAGCCAGATGTCTCGGCCATAAAACTTACTTATCGGCAAGCCAGATGTCTCGGCCATAAAACTTACTTATCGGCAAGCCAGATGTCTCGGCCATAAAACTTACTTATCGGCAAGCCAGATGTCTCGGCCATAAAACTTACTTATCGGCAAGCCAGATGTCTCGGCCATAAAACTT